CCCCCCCCCCCCCCCCCCCCCCCCCCCGGACCCCCAAAAACAGGTAGCCACGGACTTAGGCTCGAAGGACGGCCCGATGGCCCTCCTCGCCCGAAACGTGTCCGAAAATTGCGGTCCACGAGCAGTAGCGACGCCACAACCTTCGCCGGGTCGTACGTCAAGAGATCACTCGAGGGGCGGGGAAGCAGGGAGCGCTCCTGAGGGAGGTAGTGCGGAGGATGAGGGGGCCCCGCCACCTGGGAGAAGAAGACCTCCCCCCCCTCCTCCCCCGAGCGTGCAGAGCCTGCGGTGGGGGGACAAGGCCCAGCTGGCGGACGCGCTGAGGAAGTTCGACGGTTTCGGTCCCGACGTCGTGCTCGCGTGAGTGGCTGCACCACTGTTGATAAAGAACAACAAGGTGTTGCAAGGGGGGTACGCGAGTTCGTGACCCCTTATTTTCAGTAGTAATACCTTTCTTTAGTTCAAGGAACGCCAGATTGATCCGACGACGACAACACACTTGGCTATCCATCACTCATTGCTGTTACAGGACACCGACTGCGGCAGCCTCGCCCTACGCTGGTCGGGCAATACGATACGGCAGCGGTTTGTTTCTGTACATTCGGGCACATCCACAGACAAGCGCGGTTCGGTTACACACGGACGCTTCCAGTGTAAACATCGCAGAATATGCGTTATTTCAGGTGGTAGTCGATGCGAGAGAGACAGGCGGAGGAGAGGTGAAAATGTATCCAAGTGTGTGTGTGGTGATGGATTTTCATGATTAGAATAGCGGGAGCGCCCACCACGCGTCTGCCGCCTGCCTCGGGAGTTGTACCCTGGTATATAAGCCCTGTGACTTTCCGAACCGGCCATGACGAACCCACACAACGGCGGTGTCGGGATTGTTTCGTTGATGGAGTTTCAAACTCGCTCATACGTACCGTGATATGTCCACCCCCCCCTCCGCCCCCTCTCTCTCTTTTTCTGTCTCTCTCTCTCTCTCTCTCTCTCTCTCTCTCTCTCTCTCTCTCTCTCTCTCTC